AAGAATGAAAATATAAATTGTAATTTTAATTCGTGACCAATTGTATTCCTTTAATAATGGAAATAGATAGGGTAAGTGCGGGTATAGTCGGACAGTACTAGTAGTCGGACACTTTCGTGTTTTTTGTCAAATAAATAATAATGCATTGTGATAATTACTTTAAAAAGTATACTAGACGAATGTGTGAAGTTTATATTTTATTAAAATAGTGTTATTTTCGAAAATAATTAAACAAGAAATATTTTATTTAATGTTTTAAAAATCATGGTGTCCGACTATAGATACAACCATTTTCGAGTAGCGCGATGAGTGGCACAAAGTTTTGTTGATAATTAATCATAAATATTAAAACTTATAGGGTTTAAATATTATATTAATAACTTCTAATATGCTTTAATTCCATTTTCCAGCAGATAGCAATTAAAAAATTATCTGTTTTACTTTATAAATCCAAAATATCTGACAGATGTCCGACTATAGAAACAAGGGGAAAAAGTGTCCGACTACTAAAGCATTCGTAATTTTTTATTAAAATGTTTATATTTTATTAAATACTCAACTATTTGTAACAAATTTATATGATTTTTAATCCTGAAGAACTCCTTTAATTAATAATGTAATTATAAACACAGTAGATATTTGCTATTTCAAGAAAAAAAGCATAATTTAAGATTGTATCCTTAAGTGTCCGACTACTAGTGCATTTACCCTATACAATTTATTTTAAAGATTAATTTTTTATTTTTTCTCTTAATTACAAATCTTTTTTAAATCAGATGTTTTTTAAAATATATTTTCTGTTAATTATTGATATTTTTTTCAATCTTTTTCCGTAATTTGTAATTTTTTTTAAATTTTTAATCCAAATTTTTATTACAACGCTACTTTTATATTAAAATTCCATGAATTTGACTATAGGTATCCGAAGTAAATTGAAGTTAGAAAGTAGTAAAATTTACTTCGAACTTGGTAAAATTTACTATTATTATTGAATATTAGTATTTTATTATTATTTATTTATTGTTTATTGATTGAATTAATTATTTCCATTATCCTAAGTTGAATAATTTTTATTAATTTATAATATCCATTATAAATTTTATTGGAATCTAGTAAAATATACTTTGTAGTAAAATTTGTTCTCGAAATAGTAAGATTTGATATAGGAATTCCAAACACTTTGGGGTTTAGTTCGTAAATAGTAAAAGTTACTGTATATTTTTTGTTCCTTATACGAAAAAATTTCTAAGTTTAAAAATTCTGTAAAATTTCATAAAAAGAATTTAAAATTTAAAAATATCAAAATTTTTCCAAAGTTTGCAAAAAGTAGAAATTTTTTTCTTCAATAACTAATAAAAATTTTTTTAAGGGGTGTTACGGCCGAACTCCGTAACTTTTTATGTTGTTAATATCTTTTTAATTATACTTAAACTAAAATTACGTGCAACAATAAATTACACACAACATGAGATTTTGTTAAACATCATAAAAACATTTACACAAAAACAACCCTTTGTAATTTCACAAAAGGGACATTCTTCTTTTTGAATATTTTAATCCAAAATATTTCATTCGGATAAAAATCTAGTTATATATAAATAATAGATTTAATGGAATTTAACATTCCTTTAAGTTTCACAATTTTGAGGTGAAAAACCTGAGAATATAATACGATACTTCTTAATAAATTCCTTTTCTTGGGCAAACAGTTTGTTGACCCTTTTGAGGAATAGTTAGAAAATATGAAAAGTAAATTGCTCAATATAAGGAGTGGTGCATCTAAGTCACTGAACTCAGATCACGCCACTACCTAAATCTGCAACAGTCAAGTGTAATAAACTTAATATACGATTTCCTCACTAAATCGTCTTTCAATAAAATTGATTGACACTGGAAAATCTGGGCAGTTTAAGGCAGGCCGTGGTAGGGGGCGCATGATTATTCCCCAAATGTCATTTTTCCGAAATGTCATTTTACCGAACTGCACTTTTGCGAATACTCATTTTTGCGAAAAGCCAATTTTGCGAAATGTCACTTTTGCGAATTGTCATTTTTTCGAAAAGCTATTTTTGCGAATCGCCATTTTTACGAATTGTCAATTTTCCGAAAAGTCATTTTTGCGAATCGACATTTTTACGAATTGTCAATTTTCCGAAAAATCATTCTTGCGAATTGTCATTTTTACGAAAAGACATTTTTGTGAAATGTCATTTTTGCGAAAAGTCATTTTTACGAATTGCCATTTTTGCGAATTGTCATTTTTAAGAAATGTCATTTTTGCGAATCGACATTTTTACGAATTGTCAATTTTCCGAAAAGTCATTTTTGCGAATCGCCATTTTTACGAATTGTCAATTTTTCGAAAAGTCATTTTAGCGAATTGTCATTTTTGCGAAAAATACAATAGTGAACTTATAGACCTACAAGTTTTCTATTGTATTTTTCGCAAAAATGACAATTCGCAAAAATGACTTTTCGGAAAATTGACAATTCGTAAAAATAGCGATTCGCAAAAATGACTTTTCGGAAAATTGACAATTCGTAAAAATGGCGATTCGTAAAAATAGCGATTCGCAAAAGTGACAATTCGCAAAAATGACATTTCTTAAAAATGACAATTCGCAAAAATGGCAATTCGTAAAAATTACTTTTCGCAAAAAGGGCTTTTCGTAAAAATGACAATTCACAAAAATGTCTTTTCGTAAAAATGACAATTCGCAAAAATGAGTTTTCGAAAAATTGACAAATCGTAAAAATGGCGATTCGCAAAAATGACTTTTCGGAAAATTGACAATTCGTAAAAATGGCCATTCGCAAAAATGACAATTCGCAAAAATAGCTTTTCGCAAAAATGACAATTCGCAAAAGTGACATTTCGCAAAATTGGCTTTTCGCAAAAATGACTATTCGCAAAAGTGCAGTTCGGTAAAATGACATTTCGGAAAAATGACATTTGGGGAATAATCATGCGTCCCCGTGGTAGCCGGCAGTTAGCCCGGGCAGTTTAGGCCCCCAGTTTAGTCCATGTCGTAGTTACCTGTAGTTGTAGCCAACAAGTTTTTAGCCAGGCAAATCTAAGTCCGGCAATTGGCCGTGTTGATCGTGAAGATCAGAGTTAAAGTTTGCATCCCTGAGCAAGGGATTTTCTCAAAAGTTATAAGGGTTTAATAAGAAGTTTGATCAGAAAAGTGAATTTTTAATTGAGAATAATATAAATAATTAAAGAGTAAAGAAAGGTTGATTTTAAAAGTTATATTGAAATATAAAAATAATAAAAGTGACAAGTGAAAACATTAAAGAATTGAAAAAAGAATATTGAAAATAAAGTGGATAAAAATAAATATAAAGAATTTGTGAAAGAGATATAAAATAATAAAAGAATTAAAAGAGAATATTGAAAAAGCTTAGTATCAGCAAAAATAAAAGTAATTCTTAAAAAGAACATTAGATTGAACATATTTTTAAAGACAGCCTTTATTTACGGGGTTTGGGTCTTGATATTTGTGCAACGGAAGGAATACTAAATTTCATAGTTAAATATCAATCTAGTGAACCTATTAGGTATTTCTTTAGTTTTCCGGAGAAACAACTTAAAATTTACAAAGTCAGAACGCGTCATTGGATTACTATTTCAAAGAGTTCGAATAAAATTCTTGTACATCATAACACACACATACACACTACTATTATATTCACACGTACAGAAGTACTCTTTTTACACACGTAAAAATTAGATTTATTTGTATTAGGGACTTTTTGGGAAAATATATGTCTTATTGTTATTATCTTAATTCTGTATTTTAATTTCAACATCCTAGTAATTATCCTATCTTCTCTTTTTTCACAAGAGTAGGGTTCTCAACCTCTTAGTTGAATCAATAACTAAGTAGAGGGGGAATCCACTACTTTTACAATTTCTTTTGTCCGAAGGACACGTGAGTTAAAGTTTTAAAAAATTAATCTTTTAAAATTTAAATATTAAATTTCTAAATCCTACTTTAACAAGGGGAATAATAAGGGGAAAAAATGTATGATAGTAAGTGCTTTAGGAGATTTTATTAATTTCAAGAAATAAAAAAGAGGAAAATAGGAAAAAAAGGCGATTAGGTAAAAGATGGGATTACAGGACAAAAAGTCTAGACCGAAAAATCAAAAATAAAAATGTCCAAAGTCAAAAAATCTAAAATAAATAAAAACATCCAAAATAAATAATGAAACATGTGCAAAAGCCACGTTTTTACTTTTTAAATTATAAAATCGGAATTTAAAATGTTAATGTTAAAATCGCAGGATTTTAATTATTTACATAAATAATAAAATTCTTTACAAAAATTCAATTATTTTCACAAATAAAAAAATTTCCAGAAAAATTTCAATTATTCTATAAAATTTTTAAAACAATTATTCCAAGAAATACAATTATTTTCAACAATTTTGATAAAATTCTTTTCAAAAATTAAAATATTTTTTTTTAATATTATTCCAATTAAATTACTCGATTAATTTAATTATTTTCAGAAATTTAAACCTACTTTCGATTCACATCACAGTCATCGAAATGAGGACAATTTCATTCAAGGCAACCATTTACATTTTTAAATCTCAATGTTTTTTTATTGAATTATTAATTTCTTTGGACTTTTTGACCAGGACAAAAAATCCAAAAAATAAGTCCAAAGTGAAACTATTTTTTTTTACTTTTTTGGATTTCATTTACTTTGGAATTTTTTGTTTGGATTTCTTGCCTGGATACCAAAAATTGGAACTAACTGTGATCCCAGCAATGACAGAAAGAGAAAAAATCTAAATTAATATTTAATATTAATATTAATATTTCACTCATATTTAATAGAAAATTTTTTGCAGTAGTAAAAAAACGTGAACGGTAATGTAAACTTTTGTAACATAAAGTAAATAAAAATAGTATAAACAGATAGAAGTAAAGATTTATAAGTTTGCATTAAATCTTTCAATGTATATTTGATGTATATTTGACATACCTATTCATTTCGTCTTTCTCCTGTTGAAGCTTCAACAGCAAAGCGCGCTGTTTCTTTTTAATGGAGCTTATCCGACTATCTTGACCAGTATCTCTCAATTGACGCTTCTGCTCTTCTAGTTTTACTATTTTTTTCGTTCGATCATTAAGCGTTTTTTCATGCGATTTGAACAGCATTTGAATTTTATCATATCTTTGCTTTTCGTCCTGTACAAGTTGAGCCATCTAAATTTACACAAAGTTGAGTTAGTTCTTTGCAATTTAAAACTATTTCACTATTAACTTAATGAGGAATTTAAAAATATTTTAAAATTTAATTACTATTATTTAGTTTATTTTTTTATTTCTTTTAATTTAACGTAAATTTCTATTTTGTTGAATTCTATTTTGTAGATTTTACCGAAAAGTATCGATAAAACAAAGAGTTTGTTTTAATTAATTTTTACTTACCAAATATCCTTTAAAAGTATATTAAGTAACAATTAATTAAAAACAAAAATTTTGTTTAAAGTAAGTAAAATTTTTGTACTTACTTCAAGCGCTAAGTCTTTATTAAATGAGCAAGTTACATCTCTAGTTGATATACTTATTTCTGTACCGCTTTCAGTCTTTATAGACGATGTAGTTTCGTGTAAACTTATTTCAGACATTGTTTTCATTCTACTCGCTAATGAAATATCATCTAGTTGACCAAAATCTTTATCTCTATCTAAAGATTCTAGGGAAAATTCTGGAATATCCCTTGCACTAACAACTCCTCTTTCATAAGTAATGCCAGAAAGTTCTTCGAGTTTCTTAAGCATTCTCGATTGATAGAAATTAATATCTGTTTGTGTAGCAATATCATTTGCCGTTTGAGTTTGAACTTCGGCCATTTTAACAATTAACTTAAGATTATTATCAACATAATTACTATCAATCTTGTCAGACAAATTTTTTGTTAAATTTTCCTCTAAACTTTTCTTCAACACTGTGGACCCTTTTGTTGTTATTTTATTTACAAAGCAATTATCTGCATTGTGAAGAGCTAAAAAGTAAAAAAGATAAGAAATAAGAAATGTATGTAAATGAGATTGTTGTTTAAAAATATTGATCTTTAAAAATATTAGGGTAAGTGCTTTATTCCACTCAAAATACTTTCTGCGTAGAGAAAAATATTTACGTTGAATTAATTAAACTTGAAATTTATTAAACTAATTAAGGGGGATTACTCATAAAAAAAATTTTTTTGTTGCTTTTCTAAAATCCTTAATATCTCTAGAATACAGGTTTAAAATTTTATGACGAAATTTAGCTCCTATCAAGAATTATAATACATCACACTACCATCGGTATGGCTCCACGCGCATGGCCCAAAAATATACCAATCTTTAAATCATGATATTCCTGTAAAAACTAATGTCAGAAACTTAACAAATCTACCGTTTAAAAGCTTATAATATTCTATGTTAAATGATATACAATTCGAAATTTTAGGAAATTACACAAAGATTTTAACAATCGACAAATTTGAAAAAATTAAAAAATGAAAGTTTTTTTGACAATTTTTTAAACTCTGGCATATTTTTTAAAAATTGCAGACAAAATTGAAAACTTAAATAGTTTTTAAATTTTAATCCTTCAAGTCTCATCTTTAATTTAAAACCAAAAACGTTAAAAAATCTGGATTGGTTCGCGAGATATCATTAAAATGTCAGTGCATGCTTTTGGACAAATGCATTGAATTACTATCCGCGAGAAAATGATAGGCCCCTGAAAAATGTTCGAATTTGACTTGAAATAACTCTGTTAAGAAAATTATTTGAAAAAAATGAGAAATATTTTTGGAAAGCGTGGAATCTTATATGTTTGTATACGAAAGGCCAATATTGGAAAGAAAATTTTGCACCGTACAGGTGCAGAATTACATCACAGTGTACCCCATTTTTCGACATTTTTAAAAATGGTCGACTTTGGTACAAGATTTTACACGGAAGCGATTATTCAAAAAATTCTAAAAAAGAACTATTTATTAACTGAATCTGTCCAAACGAATTTGCTTTATAATTATTAAAAAATCTTAATTATTATTCTATTTATTAACAATAATAGGAGACAATGTTATCTCTGGTTCTAATAGTCTAATTGAAATAAATTAAATTAGAAGTTGTAAATAATTAATCTTTTTATTATCTTAGCTGATTAAGAAAAACGAAATTCTTCTATTAATTACATTTTTCAACATTTATTTGGACAGTTTTTTTTTTCTTGAGAACAAGTGTAAAACGGTTGCAAAAACCAAATTTTTTTCGACAAAATCTTAACCCTGTCATAAATAATACTACGAACTTCTTCAAAATGTGGACTCAGAACAAAGCTTAGAATTTTTTTCACATAGGCTATACAGTGCATGCCAGATTTTTATTTATGACAGGGTTAAGATTTTGTCGAAAAAAATTGGGTTTTTGCAACCGTTTTACACTTGTTCTCAAGAAAAAAAAACTGTCCAAATAAATGTTGAAAAATGTAATTAATAGAAGAATTTCGTTTTTCTTAATCAGCTAAGATAATAAAAAGATTAATTATTTACAACTTCCAATTTAATTTATTTCAATTAGACTATTAGAACCAGAGATAACATTGTCTCCTATTATTGTTAATAAATAGAATAATAATTAAGATTTTTTAATAATTATAAAGCAAATTCGTTTGGACAGATTCAGTTAATAAATAGTTCTTTTTTCGAATTTTTTGAATAATCGCTTCCGTGTAAAATCTTGTACCAAAGTCGACCATTTTTAAAAATGTCGAAAAATGGGGTACACTGTGATGTAATTCTGCACCTGTACGGTGCAAAATTTTTTTTCCAATATTGGCCTTTCGTATACAAACATATAAGATTTCACGCTTTCCAAAAATATTTCTCATTTTTTTCAAATAATTTTTTTAACAGAGATATTTCAAGTCAATTTCGAACATTTTTCAGGGGCCTATCATTTTCTCGCGGATAGTAGTCAATTTTGTATGGTTTTTGACAATAAAAAGGCTCGCAACGAACATAAAGAGGCTTATGAGGAAGCTTATAACTTACTTTATTGACCTAGGATAGGAAATTAAAATTTGGTAAGCTCTTATAAAAATCATTTAACAATAAATCATTTTCCTTTTTACAAAAACTCGCAGTATTTGATGGACTTACTCTACACGGAGAAACCTTCGAGAAGTCTGTCTTCCCACTACACGGGAAGTCTGATCGCCCGCCACTGGGTGCGTAGCGTTACCGTTTTCGATAGACAAACTTCCCAAAAAGTTTAGAAAATGACAACTGGGTACGTGGATCACCCAGTTTGAGAGTGCAGATGAACAAGTTTCGGGTGAGCAGACTACTTAAAGGTTTCTCCGTGTATATTATGCATTTGAAATGAGTTGGATAAAAAATTCATTTAAAAGTAATAATCATACCTTTATTAATGGAACGAATTTCCTCTTTATTTATTTCTTCATTTGCTTCACTTCGTAATGCAACTAATTGCTTTCTAATCTCATTATTCACTGTTTCTTCACTCTGCATTCCTTCTTCACAACTCGAATTATAAAGATTACTTTCGTAAGCAGCTTGACGCATAGATTCAATTGTATTAAGTTGTCTTTCTTCCGCTTGATGCTTTATTTTCAAAACTGCAGGGTGCAACTGAGAAAATTGTTTTCCTGATTAGTAAACTCGATAAAAAATACACAGATGGTAACGTCTTATCATTGAGGAAGAAATAGATTGTCGATAAACAAGAACCAAATTCGATGTTAGAATGCAATTTTTTATTTATTTTTTCATTATTTTAAATGCATTTTGAAACTTTTGATATTTTTACACTAAAACTGTAAATCTTCGTAAAATAATAAATACGTTTTTCATCAATTTTATCACTTAAATTCAAAAAACGAGATTATGTTTAAAAATTGTAATTAACATTTTTTTAAAACAAAATTCATTTCAATTATAAAAATTTAATTATTTCAAAAATTACAACTGTAATTGTTCTAAAATTCAATTATTTTTTAGAATCTTTAACAAAATTTATTTATTAGTTTCATAAATTTTTAAACAAGTATATAAATCTGTTTCAGGCCATTCAAGTATTACGTAAGCATATTTTTGAGAGTTTTAGACCCCCCCTCCCCCGTCGTAAGATTTTTTATATGCATTAGCGCCAATTTTTCTAATGAAAGTAAGCAATAGCAAGACCCCCCCTCCCCCTTAAATGCTTACGTAATACTTGAATGGTCCCTTTATTAAAAATTATGAATTGAAATTTTCAAAAGTTTGTATTTTGAATCATTCTGAAATTTAACTAAATTTTTAAACTTTGCTATATTATAACTTCTCCAAAATTCAGTTATTTTCTAAAATTTTTTAATACAATTTTTCTCTGAATCAATTATTTTAATTAATTTTGAAAATGTTCTTCGAGAGTTCACTTATTTAAAAAAAAATAAAAACAAGTTTAAATCTTGTTAAAAAAATAGTTAAAAAAAATATATTTACAAATATAAAAAATATTTAAAATGAATTTTTCAAATTTGTTTTAATGAATGATAATTTCACTTTTTCGCACTGTAAAAAAGGTTGCCAAATTACTTAGAACAAAAGAGTTTTGAAGCAACGACGCTTTTACCTATTAAAATAAAATAAATGGGACATTTTAATTCAAACCGATCCACTTACAAAAGCAGATCACAAGAGAATATTTTTTAAAGTGAATTTTCTTCTATAATAAAATACCTAATTATTTTTCTTCATAATTAAAATTTTTTTATCACATTTTTTTAGCCAAATCTAAATATTAGTTTTTTAGATAAGTATTAATTAATAAAAATTAATTATTTAGTATTTTTTTAATAATCAGGATTGCCATAAAAAATTAATTTTGTTTTTCCCTGACTTTTCCATGATTTATTTGTGGTTTATCTGTGACGTCAAATACAGTGCCGTCGCTTATTTCATTATTTAGTATCACTTAGTGGTGCCCGGCATTTAGTAGTGGGGGACCCTTAATTTTCTTGACACATACCTGAATGTTTTAGTTTTTGCTCGCTTCCAACAGTGCACAATATTCCCAACAACTGCACTATTGAAGGATCCTACTGTAATTACAATTTTCGAGAAATTCGATTAAAAATTGTATTAAAAATAATTGAAATTCTGCGATGAGTTTTATTATTTGTGAAAATAATTTAATCTCTAAGAAGAATTTTATTATTTTTGAACAATATTTAATTTTTGCGAAGAATATTATTACTCTTGAAAATAATTGAATCTCTGCAATAATTTGTAACTTTTCCAAAATTAAATTTTTTTTCGTGTTTTTAAATGAAATTCTTCTATACCTATATACATTATTTTTAATAATTTTTTGCGAATTTTCGAGCTCTGTATAAGTTTTTGAGAAACTAAATTGGGTGTAAATTTTTAATTTATTTTTGTTTTAACATCGGTCCCTGATTTATAGAAATGTAGAAATATATAAATACCAATTAAAAATTAATTAAATTTTCTTTCAAAATAGAATGTATAACATATTATGAATAATTCCTTTTTTATAGAATAAAATTTACTTGAAATATATTTTTCTTGTGATCGTCTTATGTAGGTGGAACAGTTTGAAAAGAACGCCCCAAATAAACCAATTTCGGGTTCAGAACCCGAAATTGGTTCTAAATACAAAGAATTGAATTTTATACTCTCTTTCTTTGTATCTTCCTTAAGATAAGTAAACTAAATATGAATTAATAATAATAATAATAATAATAATAATAATAATAATAATAATAATAATAATATAAAAAAGAAAATATTATATTACCGATTGACTGTTTTTTTCTTCAGTTTCCATTACAATCGTCTGTTTATTTTTAACATTTTTGTGTGGTGACTCCTTGTGACTACTTTGTGGAAATTGTCGTCTTCTTTTTGACCGAAGCATTAAATTCATGTCCGGAGTAACCAAATCCGAAAATTCATTTTGCTGCGAATAACTGTTATCCCTAAATGATATTCTTCTAGGATCAAGAAGCCTTTCAGACAAAGATGTGTCAACTGAAATTTGTGATTCAGTGTTCATTTCCTCATTGGTCGTATTGTTAAGTGATGAATTGTCACTTTTTGCACTAATCTGGGGAATAAAAAATTCCTTCTCCGCAATTCTAGAAATATTTTGTTCACTCGATTGATGAATTAAATTCTGCAATGGTACCTTAATTTCCTTAACTTTTGACGCTTGAGAAAATGTCTCACAAGGTTCACTTTCGGTTTGATGTTTCGAATAACTGATATTAGAATCAGAAGCAGTCTCCGCCTCCTCTAATATATCTGAAGTTGAAAGACTATAAACTGAATCAATTTTACTATTGCTGTATTTATGTTTACTGGGAATTCTCATTATTTGTTCCTTAGATATAACTTCAAGTTCTCGATTGTGATTATAGTTTGAGGGTCTTGATTGTTTGGAATGTCTACTATCTGGAATTGATTTGTTCTCTTCCTCTTCGATTCTTGAAGAAATTGGTAAATTGTTTTCGTCTCTGCTTTTCCAATCATCGGACTCTGTAAATGTGTCGCTATAGGATTCTTTTGTTGAAACTCTATCTTGAAATCTTGAACTTCTCTCGGATAAATTTATTGACTCACTATTGATAAATTTACCTTTTAATTTTAATGACTTATCCTTTAATGATTTAGAATACTGAATATTTGAGCAGCGGTATTTTTTGTCTTCGTCTTTTTTCAATGTTGAAGTTGCAAAGTGTTTATTTCTCGATTTTTTCAGTCCAAAATCACTAACTTTGGGTGTGTGACAAAGAAAACGTTCGGTGCCAATTTTTTTGAAAACCAATTCAGGAGTGTCTCTTTTTGAAATACACTTTGTATTTTTCAATCTTTTCGATACATCTTGTGAAAAACTGTCAGTTTTTGTTGAACTCGAATCATCCTTTTTGATTCTTTTGGATCTATTTTCTTTATCTCTGGAATTGTCTCTGGGATGATCTTTTTTCTTTATTAAACTTGACAAAACTGACACGTCCGATGGATTTATCCTTTCATTATCATCATCGTCATTATCGTGGCCATCATTCTGTAAAATAGATGTATCCGAAGAAGAGAAATCTAACTTGCGTTGAACTCGATCAGAAGATTTTGATAATTTAACTTCCTTTTGTACGTTATCTTTCGAAATCATGTTAAACTTTTTTACAGCAGAAACTTCACTTATAGAGGAACTTTCTCTCGTAGGATAATCAATGGTTTTTGGTGAAATTTTTAAATCCGGTACTTTTAGTGGTTTTATAAAATCCATTTTTTCTTTCGATGGACAATTAGTTTGTCTTTTAGTTGTAATTTCATTAAACTCATTGGAAATTATCTTTTCTTTATTCTCTTCCAGTTCACGAATCTTTTTACAAATGTCACTTTGCTCATTCAAAGCAAATTTTCTTTTCACTGCTGTTATGAAACTAAATGGATATGGTTTTACAAGATTGTAATCTAAACAAGTTTTAAAATTTTCTCCTTTAACTGTTTCATCTCGAGAATCCACTGAATTTTCCGTACTTAATTTATTTAGATTTTTATTCCATCCTGCCTCATTTTCAGAAATCTTTGGAACATCTGACTGTAAAATAGTAGAAAAAAATTATAAATATTTACAAAAGAAAATAAAATGGTCTTATTAATAATATGAATATTTTTAAAAAATATAAAATAATTTAGTGAAAAAGTTCTTACAATTATAGATGTCTTAATTTTTTCTGCACTATCGTCTGAATTATTCGATGCATGTTGCTTTTTATAATTATGATCATCCATGCATTGACAATTCTTCATGCTTTTCTTTCATACATCCCAGCATAATTTTCTTCAATCATTATTGATTTTTAATATTTCCAATTTTATTGGAATGTTAGTAATATATAATCCATACATCTGAAATTAATTATTAAATCAATTAATTGTAACGTTGTTGAGTAAATAATTCTAATGATGAAAAATAATTTATTGTAAATAAACAAATAACTAGAGTAAATAAATAATAAGTAATTCGGAAATTTCATGATTTTTTTTTAATTTAAGGACTACAGAATATTTATACTTATTCAGAAATTGATAAGTTCTTTAATGTTTTCTGTTTTAACTTCCTAACTTATTTTTTGATTTTGTAGAGGAATTCAAGTTAATTATAAATCCGAAAGTGATTTGACGGAATTTTGAAATTTTATCAATTAGGGTTGCCCCAAATATTTGATTTTGTTTTCCCTGACTTCTCCTTGATTTCTAAACAAAATTTTGACTTTTTCACCTGATCCATATATAATTATGAAAAATTTAAGGAAAGTTCAATTTTAAAAAAATATATTATTATAAGCAAAAATTTGATTCAAAACTTCAAATTATTAGATACAAACCTATTTATTTAACCCATTAACACCCAAAACAAGAAAATTCTTTGAGCAATTTCAATGCTTTTATGAATAAAACGGATCATATTTTTACCATACCAAAAGTATGTTTCTTATATGAGTCATTCTCTAACATAAAAGCCACCATAAAAAAAATTCTTTTTGGAAATGAAGTACATATGTTAAAGTATACATAAAAACAAGTATGTATAGTAGGTTTTTAGGTCTGCGTAATGCGTGGTTGCCATGTTGAGGGGCTCAATTTTTTTCAGTATAATTTTCAAATGGCAATATCTTTTACCCATATCAATGGATTTTAAAGTTGTATAAGTGTTTTTGGTAGAGAATTTTCCAAACTTTTGAATGAAATTACTAATTATTTAAAAAAAATTTAATTTCATCAAAAAAAATTAAAAATTTTTTTTTTCAATTTCCCCTCCTCTTTCCTTTCTTCAAATATTTTCAAAAATACCCAAAAATGTTCCTTAATTTATAAGCTTTTTACCCCTCAAAAGCCATTTTGGGACATTGAAATGCGTACAAGCTATACAGATGATTTTGTAACCCGGTGCAACTCATCAATTTTGCCCTTATAATTATAATTTTTACCATAGTGTTGTGCAGTGACTGTCAATTAGGAATTTTTTAGTAAAATGTATTGTTTGGAACATGGGAAGTAGGTGTTTCACATTGCACTATTAAAAATTCCATATTTATAAAAAAATTCTAGAATTCAAATCTGTGTTTAATTACTTTAAAAAATACTGAATCACCATATGTCGTCGGCTTGGTGGAAAACTGTACCATTTCGGTAAATGTTTTTAAAACATACTATTTCGAGAAAAAAGTTTTTTTGCTTTTTTCCAAGTTTGTCAACACTGCTGCTAGACATAAAATAAGGTTATGCATTTTTAAAAAGCGGTATCTTAAATATTCTCTTGTTCATCTTTTCAATGTATTAATTAAAAATTTCTAATAATTTAAATTAATTGCTTGTTTCATTAGAAATTCTTTAATGCAACGCTTTTTTAGATCTTCATCGAAATGGTATGTTTATAATAAACTTTTGAAATGGTATAGTTTATAACGAATTCTTGAAATGGTACAGTTTTCCACCAAGCCAAAGATGTATTTTACTTATTCATAACACTTCATGTGATTAGAATATCACTGCTTTTATAGAATTTCGTTAATATCAGTCGTTATATTAGTTGTAATATATATATATATATATATATATATATATATATATATATATATATATATATATATATATATATATATATATATATTACAACTAATAGAAAAGTAAATATATTTATTTACTGTGTAAAAATCAACGGATATTAACGAAATTCTATAAAAGCAGTGATATTCTACACGGAAAAAATTAGTCGCGGAAATTTTCCTCGACTTTGTTGAAGACTCTCGGATTTAGTGGAAAGTGTTTTAAAAATCATATTCACAGTTTTTGAAGAAATAGACTACATTTGAAGAAACTTTCCGCGACTGTCGAAGAAAATGAAGACTCCACGCGCATGTAACCGATTCCGCCACAGTCGCGGAAAATTACAAACCTGAATTTACTCTACAGCGTTCTAATTTTTAATTGACAGTCGCGGAAATTATTTAGAATTTTTTAATGTATATATTAATATCGACACATTGAATAATAAAAATAATAATAATCTTGACAATCAATTGTCATAAATTGTTAAAAAAAAATGTTAAAAAAACAGTGTTTATTGGTTTTAACGCGCCCACCTTTTGTGCGCACCATTTTCCGCGACTCGTCGACGAAACCTTCTATGAAGTGTTAGAATAATTCCGAGACTGTTTTCCGCTACTAGGTTTCTAGAAAGTCCTCGACTTTTTTTGGAGAATTTCTGCTAAAATCGTAGAACATTTCTAAAAGTTTATAAAAGATTCGTTCATATCCGAGAGTCTTCGATTAGTCGCTGAAAATTTCTGCGACTATTTTTTTCCGTGTAATCACATGAAGTGTTATGAATAAGAAAAATACATATTAGGGTGGTTCTTATTTTGGAAAAGTTGGAATTTCTTAGGTCGCCGGCCGTAATTAGAATTAAAATGTGAAAAAAATGAGCTACCCACAAGAACAGCCCATTTGATATAGGTATTTAATATATTTTGGCAGTTGACAGCTATCAACAGTCAAAGTGTATTAAATTGCTAAATAAAAACTGAAATTTTCACAAGAAACCGTTTTATTCGCAGATGTTATTGTGAAAGTCGTGAAAACTCTCATTTTCAAAATTTGACAGAATTTTGACAACCGGTAGCTGTCAAAAGATATTTTTGACATCATATTCGTGTTCAGCGTATGAAAAACTGTGGGAACCCAGTAAGAAACGAAAAATTGAAAAGTATTAAAAAGATTCTATTCTTTTGAATGCCATTTCTGTCCAATACTTTTCTATCCAGTGAGACCAATATGAAAAGTAACGATATCAATCATCTTGAATACCCAGTAAGAAAGCAAAGATTAAGAAGCATTAAAAAAATTCTATCCTTTTGAATACCATTTCTGTCCTATGCTTCTGAATTCCGCGACAGTAGTATAATAATATAATACTAATATTGTTGACATATAGAATGTCCAATTACTCTCAAATAACTGCACTCATGACTATATTTGATATTTTAAAAAGGAATAATTATTAAATTATCAGTTAAGAGGGTTAAAAGTGTTTAAAGGTCTCTGAAATTTTTAGGTTATGATTTATTGTCTAACAGAATAACGGCCCTGACTCGTTTAAATGACGTAAAATTGGTAAACAATCAATTTTTTAGCAAGTTTTTCTTTGAACACAAACACTTTTTATAAAATCTGCCACTGTATGTATCTTATAAATTACAAAAATCCAGAAGATTGCTTGAATGCATGCAGAAACGCGGTTCCAATGAAAAATTGAAAAGTGATATAATGACAGGCTGTAATAATTTCGGATGGGATTGGAAAGCATTCAGAAAAAAATTTTGTCTTTGTTAACAATTACAAACAGAATTGAATAGCATTCATTTTTAGACGAAACGTGGTCCTATCATGGTATACTATCGGTGTAAAATGTAAAGTCAGTTGGCTTTGACCGCTTATATCTTGAGTAATAAAAATCGCATAATATTGAAACAACTTGGAATCAGTAGCTACAACATTTCTACGTTACTGTAGAAAATGAAGGAAATACAAAAAAATTATTTCGAGAGTTATTAATTTTTGAAGGGAAAAAGAACATGTTTTTTGGCATCATTTTCACAGGGTCTACTTTGGTAACATGTAACTCGTTTAATAAGAGTCCTATGATGTTCCTGATTTTTTTCTATGTTCCTTAAATCTTTCTGAATAATGTTATTTAAACAAATAACCTTTATTATAATAACTTTTTGAGATTATTAAACGAAATAGTAGTCATGTTATCTTTGTTGGAAATTAAGGTACGAAGATGAGACAAAGTACACGTTACGGAGAATACGACACTTATTACGACTCATCAACAAAAGTTTGGAAAAAAAAATTATTTCAAGAAGTTATTTGCAAAACTATATTCAGTTTTTTGCTTTATTACACCATTAGCGGTAAGGTGCACACCATCATAAACTATTTCCCATAGGCGTCAACATTTTAAATGCGATAAACTGTATTATTGTAGACATGAGCAGGTAAGTGAGGACTTCAGGTCACTTCTACCCAAACCTACATACAATTTTGAATTTCTTAAGACAGGAAAAATATTTTGGGTGTTTACACCTCTGTACATCCTTAGAAACCAGATCTTTAAAGTTATAAATCAGTTTCAACCACAGAAAAAAATAACCAAAAAAAGGTAGTAGTGCTAAACTTGGAGTCTCGGACAAAAAGACTTACAGTAGTATGCACCTGACTGCTAATGGTGCAATAAAGCAAAAAACTGAAAATACTTTTGCAAATAATTGGTTGTAGGGGGTTAAGGGAGGGAAGAATTTGTTTTTGGTAGTCTTTTTTGGTTTTAGCGACCCAAAAAACATAGGAATAGACACCCTACTCCGCTTTTTTTTAAACTGAAATTCCAACCCCCGGGACCAGGTGCAAAGGGGTGGTAGCGGGAAAATGGCCGATGAAAAAAATTTTTCATGGTCATATTCGGTTTCAGCGACCCCAAAAACATGGGGAAAGGGGGGGTGTAACCTCTGGGTTTTGACTTTTTTATTTTTTTGTGTGCCTGTGTTATGGTTGAATCAAAGTCACACACATTTATTGAAAGTGTACCTAAAAAGAATCTCTTATTTTCTTCCAACTATTAGTCGCCCAGATTGTGTAATCTGATGTGTTGAAAAATATTATAGTTGCTACCAACAACCAATATTAATGTCTAGGGGAGAGTAGGCTACATTGAACCAGCGTCAACAGTGAACCACTTCAATTTTCTGAGAAATGGACTGAGTGAAATTTGTTCTTATTCAATATATAAGTTAGTTTTACCGAAGCAGACTATCTCCATAAATTTCCGGCACGTAGGTTTATTATTT